TTTTTTTAATTATAGACTTTGTAAATATCACATCAAAATATTTCTCAAGGTCATAAAAAGTTATATCACACTACAAATATGCACATTTTTGTCTTTAAAAATTTTTTAATCTAACATGCACCTGGACAGTAAAAAGGAAATTTTAGATATCAACTACATATTTGCGATAAAAATATAATCACGGCTAAATTTAATTGAAAGAAAATCTGGCAGTGTCTAAAAAAGATTCGTTTGAAAAAAAGGCTAAATTTGTTATAAAGCAAAATGTAAAGTTAAATATTTTCATACGTAAGTGTATTATAAAGAATTTAATGTTATAAGTATATATTTTGTGAATTTTGCTAAGGAAAAAATCTTAATACTCTACTATGTAATATCTATACTTAGTCAAAATTTTATTAAATTTAACTAAAAAAATGATGTTTTGAATTTATATTACTACTTTATCTATAATTATATAAAAAATAAAAATCGTTATTTTTAACATGTATGTAAATGAAACAATTAGTAATTAGCAATCATAAATTACACAAGTTGAAGCGTAAATATTAGAGAAGAATTTTAGGAAAGTTTTATCCTCGATTTGAAAATTAATCGTAACAAAATAAAAAATAATACACAGAATTATTTCGCATAGCTGATATCTTTAAATTTTCAAAACAATTTGATTTCATGATTAGCATTTTCAGCTATAGTTGAAAATACAATAGAGAACAACAACAACAAAAATAATTAAGATAAATGGAGAATAAAAAATTTTAAAACAAGGAGGGGAGAAAATATTCATCAACTTAAACTAACTAATAATATAAAATATTTTTAAGTAGTTTTGACAATAGTTATGGTAATATCAATCTGTTCAGTCAAAGAAGTATCAATAAGAGATATGAATAGTTTCAGCTCTTATGTAAAAAAATATATACATAATACTCATAAAAACAATACTAAAATAAATAAAATACGTTTGATTTTGTACTTCTGTGTATACAATAAACAGAATTGATATGAGGACAATTTCTGTTTCTTTTTCATGGAAAACTAAAAAAAAAAAAAATTTACCAATAGAGAAGAAAATATTTTTGGATCTATATTTAAAAGAATTGTTTTTTTCTACTAGGAAAAATAAATATTTTTAAAGGCATAGTATAGGAAGACTATTTAAATTTAAAAACAAACAGCGCTTTTTTTTTTGTTAAGTTTGAATGTGAATTTTAAGAATACTGATTTTGTATGAAATTAGAAACAACGTTTATGTAACTAACAGCACTGCTTTTAATAAAATTGGAACTATTTTAATATTCAACAGCATAAATTTTGCAACACAAAAGAATACACATAGGAAAAGATGGGTAGCTTCCATAGACATAGTGGCCCTTAAAGCCTTTTAACTTGGCCCCTGAAATGCTAAAAATATAAATAAAAATTTCAAGATTTTTTTTACATCCATGTTTTGTAACAGAAAGTTACTGATGTAATTTACAGCCTTTCTCGAAGTATCAGAATGTGTCCATTTTCTTTTTATGGAATGGATTCAGTGTCTGCTGCGAAATATAATTACTCATGAGTTAGTTCAGATAAACTAAAAGATAAGAAACTTTTGACAAAATCATTATTTCAAAATTCTAGAAACAGTCATCACATTTATCTGATACTATATTAGTAAGAAACTTTATTTTTCGAAAAATAGTGAAAGTTGACTTCTAGGATAAATGTAAATTTAAACTACATTTTTTTGTTGTTGTATGCCTATGAATTTCTCATAACTTGCATCTACTGCATGTTTATTAACAATACTGTGCTATTCACTAAGATATAAAATAACTGAGATTTTACTAGAGACATTTTTTAGTCTATCAGTTATGTTTTGATAAATCATGCAGGTCAAAAAGAGAAATTCAAAATTGAAAATAATATAAGCACTTACATTTAGCGAAGTAAAAAATATTTATATTTTTTATTCTAAAGAATATTTTTTAAATCCATTATTTATAATTACTTAAACTATTTTTCAGCTGTCGATGAACAGTAGACCCAATTTTTTGGGTTTACGACTGCTAATGTTCAACTCGGTAGACTTGTAATTTTGAACCTAATCCAGGGGACAAGGAAACTCTTAGATCATGTATTGGGAAAAATTTGCCTTCGTCGAGGACTTTTTAATGAAACTGACCCGCATTTGCCTTACATGGAGAGGAAAACCTCTCATGGTTAGCCTGACAGCAAGGGAACTTTAACCCATGATCCATGTGGTCTCGTATCGACCAGTCATCGCTGGGATTTGAACCCGGTTCACCTCATTGGAAGGCGAATGCTCCATCCCCTTAGCCATCTCTGCTCTTCTTAAACTGTTAACACTCAACATATTGCAGTACTGGAACTATCTGTTGAAGAATTAAAGAAGTGTTTTTGCCACCAGCGGGTATTTTATCAACAAAATTTTATTTTTTAAAAATTTCTTTGACAAATATAGAAAATTTTGAGAAAAAAACTGTCAACAGCAATTGGATAAAGCTGATTCTTTGAATTTCTATCAGGATGTTGCACTTAATTACTGCTAAAAAAAAGAAAAACTTCAATAATCACTTGATAAACGAGACCTACTTTTTTTGTTTCAAACTGCTCAAACCTTAATAAAAAAATTTTGAATAAAACAAAGAGATTAATTATATTCTTTTTCTATTATAGGCTACAATTATATATTATTTTGCAACAGACATTTGGAACTTACATGCTACTTTCATAATAGATAAGATTTTGTAACAGATACAGAAAATACCAATCATCTCTACTTCAGACCAACCTGTAATAACATGAATAATGGGTAATAAAATATAAGTGCCAAGAGTGCAACATTTTAAGCAAAGTCAGTACTTATTAATTTTGTAATTATGCAAATGGATTTTTAAACACTTAGAATACACAACAGATTCATCATCACAAGTATAAAAACAATCCAGAGGAAAGTTGATTTCTTTCCCCACAATAATATCAACATTCAGATCTAAGGAAATTCATATTTTTAAAAACGTTTTATGTTAACAAGATTTCAAACTAGTGGTACAAAATATTCTAGTTAAAAAACTAAGAAATAAGATGTTTAATAAATCTGTTCTATCATAAACTTATGCTTAGCATTAAAACTTGTTTTTTTCTACAATAACACTGTCACTGTAGGAATTATGTACATTTTATTTTGAACATTGTAGCCATTATGTTTGATATAGGTTACAAAAATATTCGTTCTAATGTATCTACTGTAATATGAAGATGGATCATTTTTGACACTTTTATGATAGCTCATTTATGTGTGTATAAAAAAACATTTTTAACATGTAAAATAATTATTTAAATAAATTATGAACTTACTGAGAGCCCTAACAATCACCCACAATTTGAAAAATCAAAGAAAAATAGAAGGGGATAAAAAAAAGTATGATAATGACATGAAAAGTATAATTGAAAAATTCGTCACTAAGTTCAACAAAAGATGGAACTGCTGACTAAAAAAATATAAACCAATGTTTTCTGCTGCAAGTTAGGCTTTTCAAACTGACATTATTAAGGGAGTGTTCATTCAGGCGTGATTGCGAGCCCAACTCAAAAATCCTGAAAATTTCTTGAGTAAAATCATTAATGATGCATTTCAAAAAATTAATGTCTTTATAAATTTAAATCATTGATACTTTCAAAACATGAAATCTAAACAAATTATATACAGCATAATTTAAATGAATAATTATGCATTAGTTTACTTTTATCTCTAAATCACATTTATATCAGAAAAAATAATTACAAATGAAAAAGATGCCAAGTATAAATTCCAGTTCTAATGTTTTTAAATAAAATATACAAGAATTTTTATGCATAAATGTGATTGATGATTTCAGGAAACTTCCAGATCGCGGTTAGTGAAAAACCCAGACTTTTTCCGGAGCATAATCATCTATGGTTAATTTTGCCCTCACCATGTTGTTGCAAATGGTGGTCATATAGAAAATATTGTTTTAAAGTTTTTTGTTAGTTAGCAGTGCCATCTGTTGATAAACCATCTATCTAACTTCAGAACTAGGTGAGAATAAATTTTCTAGTTTCCTAAATTGAATGCAGCAAATTTTTTCATTCATTGATTTTTCAAACTTTAGGTTATTTTTCAGTTACTCTGTTAAACCTGCATTAACCCCTTTGTTCACAAAATGTACTCATTTCAGCACAAGTTTTATAGCATAAAAATATAATTTAGCAGTTTTCTTATTTTGTTTACTGCACAGTTTACTGCTACTGAGGGAAATAAATATTTCTCACAATACTATACAAAAAGTGAAAATTAAATTATGCTATTTTCTTTTAGTTTAATGAACTTGTTCTTAAAGTACAAACTATTTCTAGACATCAAATTTATGAAGTTTCTTTCTTTTTTTTTAAGTATTGCGAGAAAATCACTATAAAGTTTAAAGAGAACCTTCTAAACTATATTTAACTTTTTTTTACCACTTAAACTAACTTCAGTTTCATTAAAAATTAATATATAAATACTAGTAAAAAAATTAAAATTTAGAATATTAACTATGAAAATAAAGTAAAGAAAGTACTGTTCTGAAAAATATAAGTGCTTTCTAAATTATATTTAAAAATCTATGAATAAAAAATTATTAAGTTATATTTAATAAATTATTATTTAAAAAATAAGTTATATTTAAAAAAGTTTAGTTATATTTAAAAAATGATTAGTAATATTAATTCACATTACTATTAATTTCCTTGCACAATTAAAATCTAAGTTACATAATTCTCAATAAATCAAGTTTAAAAATACTACTGAAATATAGCATTAATTTCTTCAGTTAAAAAAAATATATGATTTTTAGGAAAAGAAAAAAATATTTAAGAGCATCTAGGAAAAAGAAAAAACTTAGTCTTAGGAAATACAAAAAATTTCGTCAAAAATAATTATCAATTCAACGTACAAAAGTATCAGTACAATGTTAACAAAAATTAAAAAATTTACTCAATTTTCTGACAATGAGGAAAAAAAACCTGTGATATTTTGATATGTGCAAATATATACATAACTGAAAATATAATGATTAAAAATAAATAACTACTTACCACCCACAGATGATTAAATAACACTTATATACACATTTTGTTACTCAAAACAATAATACTTTAAAAAATTTTATACTGGAAACTATCAAATTTTAATCACAAAAAATTTCTATCGATAGTATGTAGGAATGAAAAATGTGTGTAATAAATATAACTTTCTAAGATATACAGACAAAAAGTTTTTTTTTTTAATAAAATAATCACATGAGATTCAATATTTCACATTTAACAACAATCTAATTATTAATAATCAAAGTATCTAAACATTTAGATTTCTTTTAAACATGAAGATATGATAATAATCTGAAGATATGTATTTAAGGAAAATGCAGAAAAATGCTTTACAAAAAGATTATTTAACATAGACCAATCAAAACCAAGGTTTCATGATACAAACATTGATTAAATTATTTAATGCAAATATCAATTAAAACCAAGTTATATATCATAAATATAAAATGAAACCAAATTATTTATGTTATCATCAATGTGTGAAATCTGGCATTCCATAAGACACCTGGTCATTATATATAATGATTATTAAGAAACTGGCAAAGAATGAAACACATTGCATAGACATTCTATAGAATGACTAATGAATAACTTACAGGCATATTATTCAGTGACTAGGCAATGTAAATATTACTTCTTATACTTTGCCTAAGGAGCATTTATCATTCTACTGAGCGCCTCGGCATTCTATACAATGACTAGACAAAGTATATAATTATATTCATAATTTACACTTTTCATAAAAACAATGCCAGGCATTTTTTACAATGACAAGGCTTTTTATAGAATTACAGCATTTCATGCATTGATGGTAACATAAACTAAAACCAAATTGGGTGGTGAGATTAATTCACAAGTCATCTGAACCAAATGATCATGCGCCTTTTTCACCAAATATTATAAATAACTTAAAATCTAACAACATGTAGTGACGTCCGACATTTCCCCAAATATAATATCAACAATCTAAAACAAACTAATGTGAGGATAAATATCTATCACACGGCTATTTAATAGCTATTAACATTAAAGATAATTGGTTGTTAACATTCAATTTTCACTCTTTCAGTAGCAACGTCGGTCGAGTACCGAAATTCTCGAGTTTGGACAACACGGTGCGGCATTTCTTTGGCTGAGAATTACCATCCAAGTTTTGGCAACATTGATTACTGTCGGTGCTGTGTGCTGCACTAATAATAGCTATCGAAGCACTGTCGACGACCGACAGGGCTATTCCGAGTTGGGCAGCATAGTATGTGACCATAATGATCATAGGAGCATAAGGTATGGATGAGCAAAACATGTTGTATCCCAGAACAAAATCTGAAATGGCAAATAATATACCACCTCCACAGGAACATAATTTGGTCCAGGTCCATAAATCTTCAAACAACTGAACCCTTGCAACAGCTCTCCATACCATGAACATGAGGAAGGATACATAGACTGGAACTAAAACAATAAATGGACCTACAGAAGAGAAAACAAATATATAAATAAATATTACACTTAACAGCATAGTTAAATAAATATAATTAATTAATACAATCAATAAGAAGCATTTACAAAAGTATTGGTATTACTCTAATACTTTATGATATCTAATTGAGAGATAGAAGATGCAAGTAGATAGCACTACAATGATATCTACTTACAACTTTAACTATTAATTATTACTTATTTTAAGAAGATTATCTGCAATTTTAAAGTTTGGCAAAATGGGCACACAAGAAATAAAAAAAGAAATTCACAGGAAAACAGCCACTCCAACTTGAAGAGTATAACTCAGTAGTCACTCTCAGGGGAATTACTAAATTTTTTATTTAAAATTTTTGTAAAGTACAAAAACCACTTGGTGCCCTGGTGATGGTTGAGGGCACAAACAGGTATGAAAATATCCCCTTCATTTTTAATTCATATATATTGCACCATATTATAGTACTATAAATAATATTTAGTTATACTATAATAAATATTTAAAATAACTAACATAACATGCAATTAATAAAAGCTATTAATTTTCAATGTTTTGTATTTTTAGTGTGATTTTTCAGAAGTCCTTCCAACAGAAAAGTGTACTTTTTTCTTTTTTATCACATGGCTATTAACATACACACTTCATAGCTCAGGCAGTAAAATAAAAAAGTATATAGTAGTACTAAGGGAGTTATAAAATCACAAAATTTTCACAAATCCTGTGGAGATAGGAGTCATCGACAATGTCAACATTCATCTATGAAAAGGTACCCCAACATAGAATCCATTTAACATGTCTTATATACTAGTGAATTGGAATTGTATTTTCTGTAGCGGTAGATACCGTACAACAAGGATGAAGAGATGAATCCACTACCCAGATAGATTATTTATGGGTGGTGAGAAAAAACTTAAAATGAAATGAGCTCACCGTATAGTCCATCCATGAGTAAATATGTTCCCAATGCACCAGCTACAGCACAGACAGTCCCAGCATACGGATTAAGCGGTTTCATTCCAAAAGCAGAAATATAAAGTATATGAGCGACTGCAAAAGACAGCATTCCCCACGTAAAGCAGCAATCCCAGATCAATAAAATATCCCCCATACAGGAGAACAAGAGGCCTAATAATATCCGACGAGCATAGGCGTGCTTTTCACCGAGACTCATTCCATGATACAATACAAATCCGCAGAGGCAGAGAAGCGGCAAAGACTTTATCAGACAGGTGAACCAGCCAGGAGATGGTGTTACCAGGACGAAATAGATGGCAACTGTTTTAAAGAAAGGTACCAATTTGGGTCCAACACATTTCAGCTATAAAAAAATAATTTTATTTAATTACAACCACAGAAGTTAAAGATAAAAAAAATTTTGTAACAACAAACAGCAGAAGGGCTTAAAATATGAGACCTTTGCATTATGCATGTTTATAGCTCATTCTTTAATCTTATGTATTAAACATGGCAATGTACATTTTGTCAATATTAATGCTTTAAAATAATTTCAAATATACTAACAACACACAGAAATATGTACTTAAATATTATTTTCAGAAAAAAAAAACTAAAATTGATTTAGAGCATTAGATTTTTAACAACTACCAACTACCGGTTTGTTTTGTAAAGTTAATACAGTTTATGGAGGATTACATAGCATCTTCTATTACACAGCTGAAAAACTGTAAAAGCATAGCTGTAAAATCCAGTAAATTTTACAAAATAATATAATGGTAATTGCCACATAATTTCATGGTAATTGCTGCATAATGTACTAAATATTTTACACATAAGGAATTTTTATAGTAATTGAAATAGAAAAACTGCAATATTTTCCAGTTATGATTGACGTTAAATGAACTTGAAATGTTATGTATTATGTTTAATCACAATTTTTAGTAATGGACATTTAATTCATCATAGATAGCTAAAATATTTTTTAATTAATTTAAAAAGGGGGTTCTGAATGAATATAAACTGAACATTTTCGAACAAAGAAAAAAGTTTTAAACTGATTTTTATAAATGAGGCTCGCATCATTATGCATTGATAATACTTATTTAAATATTCAAGAAAGCAATAATCTGTCCAAAAATTCTATTTCAATAGAGACTCAATTTTAGGGCATTTTCTAGAATGTACAAATACCAGGAGAATTTTTATCAAACCAATAAATTAGGAGAAACTGTCGGCAGCTATGTTGAAGTAATTTTATAGTTGGTTGGTATTGCACATTTAAGCTTGTATTAAGGATAATTGTTATGCATCCTTTAATATGCATAAATTACGTTTCTGAAAAAAACTTAACTGGTGATCGAATAACTTTTTGCAATGCCATTCAGCAATAACTCTAAAAAAATATTAAAAACAGATTTAAATTTCAAGAAATCTGATTTTCATTTAATTTAGTAAACTGATTTTCTGATCTGAAATCTGATTTTCATTTAATTAATTAATCCTTGGATGAAATGTGTCATCCCACAATCATAATAGCTTGGCCAGATTCAATGTGCCACTGTAATAGTTTGCTTTCCACTGTAATAGTGGACTTTCCATTAGAATAAGATACTAGTCTCAGCTACTGATCCATTTTTTTTAAAATTAGAGCTAGATCTCAGCAATTACTCTTTTAAGATATTAGAATTAACTAAAACTTTCAAGATTCATAAGTCAATTATTTAAATCTTATTAATGACTTCGCACAGATTTAAAGAAATCAACATCAATTGGATAAATGGATAAGTTTTCTATGCACTAATCAATTCATTAACATATACAAACTAAGAATTAAAAGAAATATAACAATCATTAGAATACAATAATTGTAATAAATCAATATTTATTGCAAATGGATACTTGCATTCATTAATTATTAGAATCCATTGATCTATGAAGTAAACAATCATGTGGTAAATAAGACAAGGTTCCATAAGACAAGATACATCTATCAATTTATTAACATTAGTTTATTAAGTCGAGCATAACTTTTGTGTGTGTGTTTTTATTCAGTTGAACAAATAATTATTTAGCTTTGAATTTTTCCTTTTTATAATATATAAATTTTATAAAATGAAATCCTATTTGATTAAGTGATTTAACTATCATTCATACTAATGATCAATATAGTGAAAGAATGACAAGCCTCCAGAAAAAAATTTAATTGTGTTGAAGAATTTTGAAGNCGGTTTTTACCAGTTTTTGCCGGTTTTTACCAGTTTTTGCCGGTTCTTACCAGGTTTTTGCCACTGTCCTGGCAAAAACCCCTTTTTGCCGGCAAAAACTCCAACCCTGATGTTAGCTAGATAAATATATGCATACACTAGCACTGGTAATATCAAACTCCCCATCTATTACAGAATCGCCATCTTTTCGTTTAAAAAAATATTTTTCCTAGTGGTAACATTATAATTAATTAAAATAATTTTGTCCGCCACTATATAAATATAATTTACACAGATATATAAAAGGTCATACAGACAAATGGTTATGCGCTTAAGTTCTGATAAAAGTTTTCTAAAAAATTTTTGATTAAAATAATTTTGCAGTAGTTCCTTACCACTAGAAAATTTATTTCACAAACACCTAAAATATTGGAAGGTATGTAAAACTTATTAAAATTTTTTAAATGTTATGAAGTTTTTCAACTCATTAGATTATTGATATTGAAATAAATTTCCAAACTAAACAAAAGTGATTTTGGGTTTCATGATCTCAATAAGTTAATCATATAAGTACGGTAAAAAAAATTTCTAAAGTAAATATTTTCATTAGCATAAATCAGAATGTTTAAAAATTTTCATTTTAATGAACATAGCAAAAACTTAGTTTTACCGCACTTTCCTTAATAATAATAACAATTGTTATCTATAGACAGAAAATATTAAGATACATATTCAGCTCATATTTAAAGATGCATAAATATACATTAATAAAAAAAAACAGACGTAGCTCAAGTGAAACTACTCGTTCACTTTTTAAGTGATCAAAGAAATTATACTATGTCTGATACATTTTTAGACATAGCTCAGTAGATTTTTGGATATCTATGATGGTTGGGATTTTTCTGACGAGACAGGGTTGGCAGGTTTTTGACATGTGGCAGTTTTTGACAGTTTAAACCATGGTTTAAACCGTCACGTCAAAAACCTCACTGTCAAAAATGTCGAAAATGTCAAAAACCTATATTCATATGTGAAATTTAATTAATACATAAAATTTATATATTTTTTATAAAGGATAGTGTTTCTAAATATGTTCTAGAAAAAATAAATTTAAAATTTTGAAGAAACACTTATATTTTGAATAGTAACCAAAATCTTGTACTTTTGAAAGCTCACATCTTTTGTAATATTATGTATTCATTTTCATGTGTTATTGAAAATCTGCAGTGATATTATTAAGAAATTTATTTATAACCAAATTTAGTGTATAGTATAGATTATACTAAAAATTAGACATTTTTAAAGATAAACATTAGCAGTTTTGTACATTAGACATCTTTTAAAGAAAAATCTTTTTAATATTCTTTTAAATCTTCTTAATAATCTTTTTAACATAAGACAATACAAATTTAAGTGCTTTCTGTTAAATACACAGAGTAGTTAGTGTCGATTTACAGTATATTCAGCCTATTCATTTACTATGCTGAAAATTTAGTTTATCCAAATACTTGTGAATTTCATTTTGCTGAATACGATATAGTTTTGTTGAATATCTAAATATTCAGCTGTTGAATAATTACTTCTTGCTTTCAAGATATGCATTATTTGTATTCTTAATACAAGTGGAGAAAAAAAAATTAAGAGATAAAAATTGTTTTAAAATGATAAGTGTAATAATTATAAATAAATATAATAAACAATATGAATTATATTTATCATTATTCATAAATATAACTACTTTTAAATTCAAATTAACATACTGGATAATAAAGATATTCGGTATAACATTAAAAAAAATTTTTTATACACTTGTATCTTATATCAAGTTTGTATTTATACAACATAACTTGTAAGTTCCTTATAAATATTAGTTATATGTTCCTTATATGTCAAAAATGCATAGTAATAAACTTTTAATTTTCTTAAGTATCAAAAAGAAAAAAAAAATTTTTTTAAATATAAATATTTAAACAATTTTTGTGCAAAATTTTTCTGCACATGCATTTGAATATAAATTTCTGAGATTTTAAATCTGTTATTTTACCTTAATTTTAATTAAAAAATATTTTAAAACCTGCTGATTACCTATAGTATAATTAAATTTCAATATAATGCATGGCAACTGTTGGTAGTTTTGAAGTTTATATATTTTCTTGGCAAACTTCAGTTTTTGACATTTTTGACGGGTTTTTGACGGTTTAAACCAGTATTATACCCTTGTCATGTCAAAAACCACTTTTTGACGTCAAAAACCCAACCCTGTGACGAGATAAAAAAAATGTCCTCTAGGTAACTGGAATTAAATTTTAACAAAATTTAATATAGTGCAAGAAACAAATTAATAAAAAAATAAGCTAAGAGATTAATTTTATCTGAACTTAAACTCATGTTTCTGTTATTCAATATAAAACTTAAAGAATATTACTCAATAAAATATAATTTTCATCTATTTTTTTTCTTTTTTTTTGTTAAATTCTTGAGGAAAAGAAACATCCATATCTATTGCTCTAAAACAGTTAAAATAAATTTTCACACATGTATTAGAATATTTATACACTTGGAAAAAAAATTATAGCACTAGTACACTGCTGCAAAAGCCAGTTCAACTTTTCATCTGCTTAAAAAAAAAACATTACACCATATAAATTATGATACAAAAATTTGATTTTAACTTAAAAAAGATTGTGTGAGATGAGTATCCTTTTCATTTTACTCACAGAAAAACACCACTGATTTGATTGCTTAACCGTAATTTTTATTTCTTAAAAAGAAACACAACACAAAACCTAGCAGAATAGCATCTTTCAAAAAGAAAAAAAGTGTTAGTTCTATATTTTACAAACCATTTAAATACAATTTAGAAAAAAAAAATCATTAAACAAATTCAATATTTAAATCTTAAATTCTATAATTCAAAACATTATAACGAGCAATGGATTCGTTCAAAAAAAAAGTTGAGACAACTTCAAATTGGCAAATTACTAATTCTGTGTTTCACCATTTTTCCTAACATTAATTTGTTTTGAATACTAACATTAAATAGTATGATTAAAATCAATTTTAGATAATTATTAAATTTCAACATACTGAAATTAGTTCTTGATATATTAATAATGAAATACCGCATTCACAAACAATATCTTTTAATAGTTTCATAAGCAAACAGTTCAATTCCTCTTACACATATTTTGTGTAACATAGCTTATAAAAAATAAGTTTAAAAAATCCTTTCTTTAGGAGAAACCAACGAATTATTACTTTTAATATTTTTTTAAAAAAATAAATATCATTATTTAATAATAACAAATATCAATATCAAAAAATATCAATATCATTAAAATAAATACAATTAAACTGCGAAATATGGAATAAAATGTTGCTTTTTAGTTATCGCATTAAATAGAATAAAATAAAAACTTTGTTTACAAAATACTAAGAAGAAAAAACAAACCACTATTTTGGGACTGGTCCAATACGCAGAAAACTCTTCGATATTATCGGCTAACATCGTCAAATAATAAAACGAACAAATGCGAAGCAGTAAAAACAATTTAGATATTCATCCTGATTATATCGAATGCAGCATAATTATTTTGGCGATCAGAACTTCATTTGTAGCAAGTAATTATGACACTGTATGACTCTTTGAATGCTTGCAGCTTCGAGTTCGAGTATCGGTATCCGTATGTTTACAAACGAACTGATGAAGGCTAAATACATTTAAAAACAAAAACACAGCTGAGTTATTGTCTGTTTCGGCGGTTGCGGTTAATAGCCTTTAACTGATTTTATTTTTAGCGAATCCATGAAAGCTGTAAGCAAAACGCAAAAGGTTCTAAATTTTTTTCATTGCATTCGAAATTTAGAAATTATGCAAAAAATATTTTTAAATATTTCAAAATACCTGCTTGATAATACCCTGATGAAAGCGTATATTTTTATAATAAAATTGTCCCGCAGTGGACTGATCGTTAAGACACGGTTCCCAGCAGATCACCGAAGTCAAGCATCACTGGCTACGGTCAGTGTGCGGGTGGGTGACCACTTGGATCAGTCTGCGTAGGGACCGAGGGTGTGCGGTATTGGTCCTCGTTAAACTGTGCTACCGTAAAGTGCTCGACTTCGCGCGCAGGTCGTCGGGCTACCGAAGCGGGGGTGCCATCCCCTCCGCAGAGGATCAAGATTGTGATGGCATGTCTTCGGATCATCCTCCAAGATGTTTCCCAGACCGTCTCCAATAGCCCATTGTGCTGCTCTAGTGCGACGTAAATTAACAACAACAACAAAATATAATAAAATTCTGCATGATAAGATCCCGTTGCAAATATTACTCATATTTTCGTAAATTTTGGCAGAGTTGTAAGAAATAATATTAATATGAATAGATGACTCTTATATTTTAAACTTAATTGCAATAGAAACAAAATTAAAAATAAAATAACGAATTAGAAGAGGCAAAAAATTATGGTGCAAATTTAGTTGTTGTAGTTCATTTACGTCGCACTAGAGCTGCGCAATGGGTTATTGGCGACGGTCTGGGAAGCATTCCTCAGGATGATCCGAAGACACGCCATCACAATTTTGATCCTCTGCAGAGAGGATGGACCCAGCTTCGGAAGCCCGACGACCTGAGCGCGAAGTCGAGCACTTTACGGTAGAACAGTTTAACAAGGACCCATACCGAACACCGTCGGTCCCTACGCATGCTGATAATGATATAAAGTGGTCACCCACTCGCTTACGACCACAGCCAGTGACCACAGAGTTATCCTTTAAAACAGTGGTCCCCAACCCCCGGTCCGCGGACCGGTACCGGTCCGTGAATCAAATGGTACCGGTCCGCCCATTTCATTGAAACTGAATTTAAATTTCTAGGTTTATACCCCAAATTAAAAATATCTGTGTTCCATTAAAATTTTATTTATTTAAAAAAAAGATGCCCCCGAAGGTAGTAACGTAATTTTTTTTAATGTTTTGAAAAGTAAAAAAAAAGAAATCTTCTGCAACTATTTTCTCATTCAATTAGTTTTAATAAAAAAAACAATCATCGTAACTGTAAATATCATAAATAAAAAACGAAAGCGCGACGCGACATTTGCATTGGAACTAATAAAGAGCTTCGTCTTCTCTCTCGATTCTGACGCCTCACACAGCGAGAGTGTATAGTAAGGCGAGAAAAGAGAAGTTGGAAAGTCTGCCATTTAGTCGCCCAAAGACCACGTGACCATGATTCCTCGCTGCTGTTTTGTGTGCTTTATGCGGATTTGTTTGTTTTTTGTAAAAAGAAAGTGTCTATCACTCCTCTCTCTGTTCACCGGTACTTTCTCAGGTTTAACAGTGCTTGGTGTACGTGTGTATTGTGTCTGCACAAATTTAGCTCACAAGTTAGCAATCATGAATGCAAAACAAACGCCCTTAGAAAGTTTCCTTGGAAAAAAAGAAAAGGCTCAGTGAAGAGACCGAAGAGCCATCAACATCAAAGAAACGTGCAACTTTTAACAGACAATACCATGAGTCCTACTTGAAGTATGGTTTTGTCGGGACAGTCGATTCACAGAAACCAAAACCGTCTCTAATGACGCAATGAAACCTTCAAAACTGCTTCGCCACTTGAACGCCAAGCACCCTGGATTAAAAGACAAGTCCCTGGAGTATTTTGAAAGAAAAAGACGGGAACACGAAGGACAGAAAAAATTTATGATGGCCACCACATCAATAAAGGAGAGTGCACTAAGAGCATCATATTTGGTGGCTAACCGCATTGCTAAAGCTAAAAAGCCATTCAATATTGGTGAAGAATTAATCTTGCCCGCCACTAAAGACATTTGCCGTGAAATACTAGGAGAAGCTGCTGTGGAAAAGATAGCACATGTGCCTTTGTCGGCTAGCACTGTGACTAGGCGCATTGAGGAAATAGCCGAAGACATTGAAAAGCAATTGTTGGAGAGGATTAATGCATCACCGTGGTACGCACTCCAGGTTGACGAATCTACAGATATTGACAGCAAGGCAGTACTACTTGTTTATGTGCGATATCTATATCAGGAAGATGTGCATGAGGATTTGTTATGTGCACTATCTTTGCCAACCAACACCACAGGAGCAGAACTGTTCAAGTCACTGGAT